TTCCAGGTACCCTGTTCCACACTTTTCCACATTTGAGGTACCATGTTCCATATTGTCTACGTTCCGTACCATGTCCACATTCCAGGCACCAAGCCCCATTCCATGCCAGGGCCCACATTCCACGTACCCTGTACCATGTTCCATGTTGTCCACATTCCGCACCATGCCCATGTTCCGTCCCATGTCCACATTCCAGGTACCAAGCCCCATTCCATGCCAGGGCCCCCATTCCAGGTACCCTGTTCCACGCTTTTCCACATTTGAGGTACCATGTTCCATATTGTCCACGTTCCATACCATGTCCACATTCCAGGCACCAAGCCCCAGTTTGTCCCCATTCTGCACCAAGGTCCACGCTCCAGGTATCGTGTTCCATGTTCCACGTTCCATGGAACACTCCGACGCACCATACACCATGTTCAAGTGTGAAATTTCAAATAGGCTGTTTTTCAAAATTCCAAAATTCCAAGTGAGAATAAACGAGAGGGTACAGCTGACGACGTTTGCTGAAGGACACCAACGCTGCAGAAGGTTCGCTAGCTAACACCGCATGCATGCAATCTCCTCAAAAAGCTGATTATAATATCATGCACAACTAATGGCCTACGTATATACCGTCAAACAGATCTGTTCGGTACACCCTAGGCAGAGAGGGAGAAGAGGACAACAAACAAGGGGTTCTGACAGACTGTTTCGTCGGACTTTACACGCTTATTCGTAGAGTTTACACGCTTATTCGTACTTGGCTTTTAAGTGCTTGCTCTGAACCAGTGAAAATTGTATAAGCAATGTTCGATTAGCAGGAAACCACAAAAAAGTACGGCCGCTCGCCCTAGCCAGCTACCGCCGAGCTGTTCGGGATTAGATCAGCAGGAAACCACAAAAAAGTATGGCCGCTCGCCCTAGCCAGCGACCGCCGAGCTGTTTGGGATCCTCAGGACTCCACGACTCGTATATATATATATCGTCAAATAGAACTGCCCGGTAAACCGTAGGCAGAGAGGGAGAAGAGGACAACAAACGAGGGGCTGTGACAAACTGTTTCGTCCGGGTTTCACCGACTCATCAGGTTGTCATGTAACTATGAACTAAAAGAGCGCACTTTGCAAAACAAAACAGTAAAGATTAGAAAACAAATATATATATATATATACTACTGCTAGTACAGTACTACCAGTCGCCGGTCAATTACGGACCATTCCCCCCCCCAAAAAAAAAGAAAAAAAAGAAAAAAAAAAGGGACCACTTATAAGTTGATAACCCTTCATACTAAAGGGTGATAAATAAAGAGTAGCCCATTACTGATAGCCGTTGTCAAAAAAGGAAAAGAAAACATCGTCAGAAGTTAACCGCCCCCTTCCCCCCCCGAATGGAGAGGACCATCCACAGGGCTGTGAGCTCCTTGAGTTGGTTTAGTTGCGTAGATGAGAAAAAAAAGCCATAGCCGGATACTCAGAGTAAGAGGCACAGGGGGGGCGCGCCTAGCCGTGGTATAAATATAAACTCCTATTGTCACACACAACTAACACTAAAAATATGCTCCCACAGTCCCACCACTACAAATATAACTCCTATCGTCACACACAGCTATTAACACTTTAAAATAGGCTCCCACTAGAACAATTAACACTTTAAAATATGCTCCCACTAGAACAATTAACACTAAAAACATGCTCCCACTAGAACAATTAACACTAAAAACATGCTCCCACTATAGATATAAACTGCTATCGTCACGCACAGTTATTAACACTTAAAATATGCTCCCACTACTCTCCAACTGTTTCACAAGCAGTGCAAGTCGACGGCGGAAGAAATACATCCAGACCGTGAAAACAGTAAAGAGGATCGTCAACTCGTCTTCTAATCTGCAATAGCGAAGACAGCACCAACATAAACTTCTTGAAACTTTTGAAAGGGCAAAAGTTAAAAAGTCGTTACGATCGAAAACTTCCCTGGCGGCAAGCTTAACAAAAGCTTCGCTGCCAACTAACCAGCGATGATCGGTGACATTGTGAGCGCCGAGAAAAATATTCGAACACATCAAATCGTCTTCCAATGCACAAGAAGGAAGACACCACCGAGGCAACCTCCACTCGGTCAAAACTTCAAAAAGTTATTGAAGTGTCACCTACAGCACTACCGAGCCTAACAGCACTTCAATGCACCCCAAACATCGACGAATCCGCCAACAATCGGTGATGCCGAACATATACAACAGATTGAACTGTCATCACACACACGGCAAGAGGGAAGACACCGCGGAGGTAACCGGGCAGTTGTCGCCACGATCAAGTGCCGCCAGCAACACCACCACGGTCAACAGCCAACCGAACAGCGATGATCAGTGGCGCCGAACATTTGACAGCGACTTGCTGGCATCTGTCGCTACTCAACAGCACTTGAGGACATCTGCCGCATCCGGGGAACATCAGGCATTCCTTCTGCAGAATGTAGAAAACGGTACAGTTGCGATGCACCCTGTGACACTATGATCCATTGTCTTTATAAAAAAAAAAGAAGAGAGAGACACTAATCAGGCAGGCAAGGAACGTGAGAATGGTGGATTGATTGGAGAAAAGAGACAACAATCCCGGACAAGGAAAAGCGAAGGAAAACAACAAGACAGGATACGTTTTAGAGGCATCAAAGAGGAGTAAAAAATACTGCTTGCCGTTCTAAATCGCCATACACCTTTGGCATAGAAGAAGAAACCATCGGAGGCATGTGAAGTTTCCAAAGCGAGGGACCAGGTGTGCCAGATGTGACAAGGACATCGAACGCGCGTGGCAGTGTGACAGCCGGTCAGCCGCATCAATGGGATCTGTGGATGACGTCTTCCACAGGGTTCACTCATTGCCGGTCTCAGCCACAATCTCAAAAGCAGCAGCAGGAATTAGGTGTGACAAGTGTGACAAGTGTGCCAAATGTGACAGGGATGTCACACATGTGGCACCTATTGCTGAAGATCGGTATAGCAGACAAGCGCATTCCCACCATCTATTCAATGTGCAGCAGAAGCCTTCTATAGGATTCCCCATTTTGCCGATTTTCACCGCGATGTGAAGCGGAGTAACTCCTACATCGCCGTGCAGTGTCGCTAATGGGAGTTTCCGCATCGAATTGAGCTTCCAAAGCCCAAGTGGCAAATTTATCGGATTCAGCTTCCGAGGGCAAATGCTGTGAGCGGAGAACAACTTTGAAAATCCAGGTGCACAGCACAGACAGTAACATCTTCGTGAAAATCGCAGTGAAGGGATGTAGGTCTGCCCTGTTTAAAGTAGAGACTCGGAGAAGATGTCATGCTTCCTCGAGCAAACGAATTGGTGTGTACTCTACCATTGACGCCATGCGTCTTTCAGGGAAGAATTACTCCCTTACTGCTGCTTACGTGCACATAGAAGAGAAGATGAATCTTTCTTTCTGATATGTTGTAGAAGTAGGAAAAATGAGAACCTTGATATTTCCTGAGAGGGAAGAAGTAGCTTGTTCCGACTTTATTGTGTGATGAAGTAGACATATCTTCTTTCCTTGCGCGGAAAGAGACAAAACTCTCTTCCTCGAGTAATGACGGAATGATAATAGATCTGCCTGTTTTCCTGCAGTAGAGAAGCAGATGATGCAGATCATTGTCACACAGAGAGAGAGAGAGAGAGAGAGAGAGAGAGAGAGAGAGAGAGAGAGAGAGAGAGAGAGAGAGAGAGAGAGAGAGAGAGAGAGAGAG